TAATGGTACAGTGGGTGGTACCATTAAAAAAGCCACTGAATTATCCAACCCGTTCTCCATAAACTCCTTTATTATTTTCATGGCAATTTACTGTTTATTGCCTTTCTTAAGGGCAGTTATGCAAAGCCTCGGAAATAATTGCACTCTGAGACAGGGAAGCCCAGAGCAGGCGATGGCCCCAAGCATCTCACCCTCAATCGCCCCCCCGCAGGCTGTGAAAGGCTGTTTTCAACCTGCTGATTCTTTTTTTTTTCAGGGATAGAAGAGCTAACCCTGTTTTTTCTTGAAATCCTGATCTGAGCCAGAGCTCAGCATCGCCTGTCCCAGCTGAGGCTTCAGCACAGCCGTCTTCTCTACATACACAGGGAGAGGACCAGAGCCAGCACCCACAAGGACTAAAAAAATCACCACAAGGACTAAGAAAATCCCACTAATGCCACTGGTGTCCCAGCCCCAACAGTAAAGGAACAACCAGCTCGTGTCCCCATAGGAAAAATCCAGATCCAACATACCCAAGACAGATTTTAAGGACGAAAAAAGAGGTGTGTGGGGTTCTTCCCCCCCCCCCATTCATTTCCCAGTGGAATAAAATGAGCAAGAACCAAGCAAGAAACTTAAGCAGCTTTCATATAGGTATTTATTGGGTTAGAAATACTGTGCGGTTAATATCCCAGCATATCCTGCATTCCAGACAGGTACAAACAAGCAGGAATCTCTGCTCCATGTGCTGTGAGAATTCGCCTTTCTGCTGGCTAAAGCGGGCTGCAGCGTAAGGCAAGGCATCTCCTGCGGTTCTCAACCCCTCGCTCGTTGTACTAGCCTGGATATAGAAATCTATTGCTTGATTAAAAAAAAAAATACTAATTTAAAAAAAAAGGCAGCAAATAATGGTCTGAAAGCCAGAGGGGTTCTGCTGCGCCTCTCACTGCTTCTTCTTGGGGCCAGGGGATGCTCTGGGGGAAGATGCTGGCCGGGTTTATTCCCATTTGGTGTCTGGGAATAAACTGGCTCTGCCCGTGGCCCCCCCTACCGACATCCCCCACCTCTTCTCCCAGCCCAGAGCATCACATCCACAGGACTGTGACCCCCCAGACCTCCCCAGGGGCGGCTGGACCCTCCAGGGAGCTCTTCTGCAAGCAAGGAGCTGGCTGGGGGAGCTGCCAGGAGCCCGACAAAGCTGTCTTTATCCCTCCCCACTCGCATTTATATGAGAGATGAACAAGCCTCCAGTGAAACAACACCACACTGGCTTCTGGAGAGCGTTAGCAAAAGCAGGCTGAGCATCCGACCCCAAGGGCTGGCTTTTTTTCTGCAAAGCGATGCTTCCTTCTGCGGCTTAAGGAGAGCTCTTTGTGGGCAAACGCTTCTTAATCTGGAAGCAGTCGCATTTCTTGTATTTCATGGTCAGTCCGTACTGAGGAGTGATGTCCACCTTCTCGCCGGGGCGCAGGCGGATCTCCAGCTGCTGCAGCAGGGTGGCCAAGAAGAGGAAGATCTCCCAGCGGCCGATGGACTCGCCGATGCATCGCCTCCTCCCCAACCCGAACACCAGAACTTTGTCGCTCTCTGTCCTGTTTATTTCAGTCCCCGCAGCACTGAGGAACCGCTCGGGGTTGAAGGTGGAGGGGTCCTTCCAAAGCTTCCTGGAGCAGAAAGGAGACACACCGCTGTCACCCACCGTGATGGGGACAGCAGGGAAAAAACCCCTTGCAGAGAGAAGTATTTCCAGGCTTTCTCATTTCACTATCCAAAAATTCTGGCAACCTCTCTGCCTGATCTCAAATGCCAACCGCATGTCAGACCCCATCAGCTCAGTCTAGTGAAACCTCTGTTTCAAACTGGGATTGTGTTTGTCTTGTGCAGATGCCAGGGGTGGATTTAATTCAGCGTGTAATATCTAGAGGTCCTGCAGCGTCAGCTGAAAGGGGAAAAAGAAAAATCCGCGCACAGAAATCACTCAGCACCTTGTGAAAAGGAAGGATGGAGACCTGAGGGGTTTTCCCACCTTGAATCCTCCCTGCAAAGCTTCCCAGCCTGGCTACTGGGATTTTCCAGTGCCTTAGCTGAAAATTTCTGCTTGGATATGGGGAATGGCCCATAAAGACAGTGTTCCCATTGCAATGCTCACCAGAATACAGAGGAGCAGAGGGAATATTGTCGTATTTCTGTGCCATTGGGATGTTTGGATGCTTCTGATCCAAAATACCTGATCTGGGAACCACCTTCTGTGTCAGCGTGACCACGATTATCAGCGATAACAACACAATTGAGTTTAATAATAGTCACATCAGGACATTTTTCTCCCCGGAATCAGACAGTTCCCATTGAGAACATCCAGAGGCATCAGCCCAGATCACAAGGGCTGCTTGGCAGGAGAACGGACCGATTCCTGACTATCCAGCAAGTCAACCCAGAGCAGCTCCAAGACTGGGCTCAGCATCAAACCCACACATTTTTTGGTCCAATCTGACACTCCCTGCCTTCACAACTCATTGGGCTTTTGGCATGTTGTTGGGGGGGATCAGAGCAATGCAATAGCTGAACAAAGCCGTCGCAGCTGGGCTAAGCACGGGGGATTTGGTGTACTCACTCGTCATGATTCACTTGCCACTGGTTGATAAACACGCAGGTGTTTTTGGGGATGTAATAGCCATTCAGCACCGTCGCCTTTGTCGTACTGAAAGAAATATGGGTGCAAGGGAGAAATTAAGAGGAGACCTGCATCTTCATGTCCTAGAAGTGTTTTATTTTCAATTTGTACTCTTAGGACTGGCTAGGAAATACCCCAGTTTGTGTTTGGGAGGCTAAATAGTCTTGGTTAACACTGTTCCTCAAGCAGAAAGATTGCAGTTTCACCACAGGCACCAACCCAACGTGGCAGCCACGCTATCGGTGAGCGTGAAAGCCACAGGGAACGTTAACATGAGTCATTCAGGCTGTGTGCTGGAATATTTCCCCATAGCAGGGATTGATTCCCAGCTGATTACCTGCCTAAACGACACCTCCCAGAAAAACACTCAAAAAAACCCTCAAATAATGTGTCAGCCGCTCCAGCCCGTACCTGTGCGGGATGGTGAAGGGCAGCAAGGAGGAGTGCCGGAACGTCTCCAGGATAAAAGCTTCCGTGTAGGGCAGCGTGCTCCGGTCCGACAGCCGCGGTCTCCTCTCCTGGCCGATGACCTGGTCTGTGGGAGGTCGAGAGGAGGAGGCAGATTGGGGTCAGCCCTCCCCAGAGAGGTTTTGGCTCTGGAGGAAGGAGGTTCATGGATTCACCTAGTTCTTCTTGGATCCTCTTCTGCATGTCAGGGTACAAGGCAGCGTACATGATGCTCCAGGATAAGGCAGTTGTCACAGTGTCAAAGCCTGGTTGGACATGTAAAAGACATTTAGTTACCAAAAGATGACAGGCAAGCAAGTATTTACAGACCCCATTGTTATAGATGTTTGTCACAGAGCAGTTCCCCATCACTGAAAGCCGTCTGCTCTGGTCACCACTCAGGAGAGCGCCCATGAGCCCAGCAACAGCTCCAAACACCCAAACACGGCCAAGGTCTCCCCCCAACAGCCCCAGTTCCCCTACCCAACCTCCCAGCAGAGATGTTTCACCCTCTGAAACGTTCTCACCTGCCCCAAAGAGGTCATTGACGATGCTGATGACCTTCTCCTTGGAGAGTGGGACGCAGGCATCCTCCCCTCCGCTCTTCTCCTGGCAGTGCTCAATCAGCGAGTCCGTGATGTCCCGGATGTGGCCCTGGGCACAAATGGTGGGTCAGGGACATCAGGGACACCCAGGGCTCAGGAAACCTCCTCCAGACAGTGCTGGCTCCTGGAGGGATTAACGACAGACTGGAAAACTCCAAGGAGCTTTCCTGTCAGAGGTGGGGGGACAAGAAAGAATCATCTTCTCCCCATTGCCAGGCAGGCAGCCAATTGTAGGCATCTCTACCCTCATCCAAGAGCATCCAAGCTCTTACCTTATCAAAGCTGGTGTAATGCTCCTGGATGATTTTTGCCACAAAGAAGTTGAAACGCCTGTTGATGTCCTTAAAGAGCTCCATGGCACGGCTGGGGAGATACCGGAGCACGGGGATGAAGTCAGCGGGGTGGCCAGAAGCAGCCACCTCCCCAAATTCATTACTGAAGTCAACGACACTGAGCAGCTCTGGGTCATTGTGGTCGTAGCGCCTGCCAAAGCACAT